ACAGTTCAGTTTCTTGTTTGATTGTGTTTGAAATGCGTGACAAGGACATTCATTGCTGTATGTTGTTGTTTTCTTTGTGGCATGATGGACTCTTAGCAATTCTCGCCTTAGATTTTTTTTGTATTAGATTACATTAACATTAAGAGACTTATCTTTTTGTCAGTTTGCTTCTGTCCAGCATTCATTGCACAACATATTGACCTTTATTGCACTGTTGAGTAAAATATATGGTTGGTTTATATTGACTGTTTGTGGAATTCAGTCCCACATACAGCAGGGACTCTGTAGATGCAACTGTGCTCTCTAAAATGTTTTGTGCGGGGAACTAAGCATATTAAATGGGATTGCAAATCTGACATGACATTCATAAAGCTGAACTGTTGAGTTGTGTATGTGGTTGTTTAAAGCCGATTGAGAAATGTATTTTAATGATTCTGCATTCTTGAGCAATAAGGTACTGTTTAACTCTTACGTGAGAACTGAAAAATGTTTTCAACATTTGTGATGTTGCCAGCTAGGACTTGGCTGAAATCTCCTGCTGAGGATGAAATGGACACACGTGCCTTAATTGTCTGATTAGCATCCTGTGAAATGGAATTCCACAGGAGAAGAGAGGGTTTATGTGAGTGGCCTCTTGGTCAATGGGCATTCCACAGCATCAGCAAATGAATGTATAACAGCGGTCAGGGGTAGAGTGTGGGGCTGTGGCTGAGCTCCTTTAGTCCAGGGAGTGAGTCAGCAGAAAAATGAACTGTTTAGGTAGCACAGGTGTAGATACTCCTGAGTCCTAGCTGCCACCCAGTACTCCTAATTTCCAGATAGTTTGAAGGATTTAAGACAGTCAGTGGAAGAAATGTGCAAATCATGTATTGGTTATGGAGTGTATTTATTTATAGGTTAGTTATGGTAGTTTTAGTGAATGATAGATCCAGAGTGAACTTAACATCCTGTCTCCACTATGTATTTCTGTATTTAGTCTGAATTCTCCATAATCTCTGTAGAGTTGTTGAGTAGTGCTGATTATAGTTGAAAACTGGGAGGATGTAAGGTATGCAGGTAGGTCTCCAAGGAGACAAGGAACATGTACTTTCCCATTAAATGGGAAGCCTGACCATTGTGTGAGCCAGTCTGGTTCAGTGTTTCAGGGTGTCCCCCTGAAACACTGAACCTTCCTTCCTTAAAAAAAAAAAATCACAAAACGGTTGTTTTATGATTTTTTTTTTTTAAGGAAGAGGAATGGAATTTGACTGTTCCGGCTGGATTGTAGAAGAATTGACAAGTCAGTTCTGAGGAACTGAATATATTTTATCAACCGATACCTCTAGGATGGGTTAGACTTCACTGAAGGAAGACTATCGGTGTGTCATAGGAGCTTGGAGGGGTTCTGCAAGCTAAGAACAGTGACAGACCATCGAAACACACTCCTAATCTGGTCATATGCTGTCTCTGGGTTATAACCTGTTACCTGTAAAGCGCTCTGAGTGGAGTGTCCAGAAAAGCGCTATATAAGTGTAAGCAATTATTATTATTAATTATATGCTATTGCCTGGGGGTCAGTGTCACCATAACATTTAACTGGATTAAGATCTATATTTTAATTATTAATTCTGCCTTTGATTTGCTTAGTCCCTCTATTATGTGCCCAGCAATGTAATATTTCTTGTTATTTTACATTCTGATTAGATATGAGATATTCAATCTTAAAGTTCTCTTAGGCTGTATAGACTGTGGAACATAAATACTCCAAAATCAGTTGTTCCGATCTCTGCAGTCATGTTGCACTAAAATGTTTATTTTTCCCACTTATTCTCAGTTGTGAGTCTTTTACAATGTTGCTTTTGTTAGAGTACAAGTTTAGGCTGGTGGTGAGCATAACAACCAGTTCATGTCAAAAGTACATAAATGGAAATTGAAAATTTTAGTTGTTCTTCTATGCTGTTAGTATTGATCAGTAGCTGGTACACTTTTTATTGACAGCCAGGATCTGAAGATACCTTAAAAATAGAATTATTTGGGCGCACACCTTCAGTGCTCAAAAATACATTTATTAGCACTTGTCAGTGCTTCGGCATACACAGACCTTCGTCAGGATATGGCCTTGGCTTGCTTGCTGGGAAAATAGTTTGCACAAGTCTTTATCAGGACATATTCATGTATAAGTGAAAACATTGACAAGTAGTAATATGTTTTGGAGTGGAGAAGGTATATGCCTATTCAATTTTTGCCACTTTGTTTTTTTTATCACACACAATGTGTGTGCATTCTTTTCTTCTTTCTTTTTGTAACCTTTTGCAGACATCACATGTATAGTTGGATTCCATGTTATGTAAGTGTCTTAAGTATTTGCTAAGTATATTTTAAGAGAATGTATCCTTTTCATAGAAGGCTTACGTTTCCTAGACCAAGATAAGATGGCAAGATATTTAGTACAAATTATAAGGCTCTCAAATGTATCACCAGGGGTCAGGATTTCACACCCTGAAAGCATGTTGAATACACAGATTTTACTTCCTTAGTGGTACAGAAACGTACCCAAACAGTGGTAATTGTTCTGTAATTCAAAGGACTCTGTAACAAAGTTAATCTTTTTTGCCCCCTGAAGAAATGTTGCCAGTGCGAAGCCTCTAATAACGGATTTAGACATTCTGTAGCAACCTTCTATTACTGCTGCCTGGGTTGGCTTTTGAAAACACCATGAAAGGCTATCCCCCTGTATTGTTGAGCTAAAAACAGCCTATTGTATTTTAAAACGATAAAATAAGGGCTTTGTTCTCCCGGAATTCATGTTTCTGAATTGAAATAATCCGTGCATGTACTGTACAAGGAAAAGAGTAATTTGTGAAAATATAAAAATATTAAATTTGACCTTAATGTGCAAAAATGTCAGAGGTACTCTTGAATTGTACAGTTGTTCCTGAAGCCTTAGGGTTGTAGTCTGCAGTTCATATACTCCCTGCAGTGTCCTGGTGTTTTCTGACGGTTGTTTTATTAAGGTTTATGTTGTGAAACAAATAAATAAAGCAAGTAGTAAGTTCAGTACCTCAAAGCCAGACACATTACATTAACTGTTTGATTTTAATTTTGTGCAAATTTCACATAGGCCATTAATGTCTTTGAAAGAGGGTTACGATTAATATGCTGTCTGCTTCAAATGAAGTTTGCCAGCATTGGTTTCCTTAAGAAGCTCTAGAAAATTGAGACCATTATACTGGAATCCAAACCACAGAAGACTATAAAGCCAGGCAAGCAAGAGATCCTGTTTTTCTCAGTCTTGTGGTAGCAACTTCACAGACACTGCTGGACATATGTTTTTCATTAATCACTGTTGCTATAATTCATTCAACTATGACGTTTGCAGAGATTGTTTTTGCCACTAAAGGCAATTTTCTCCTATTATTGTCGTTATTTGGAAAGTTGTTTTTAAAAGCCCTTCCACTTTCAGAAAACAGGAAAAGCAACACCTAGGTATCATACTAAGACGTGCAACTATTTTGCAACGTTAATGTGATGTTGCTTAACTTTTTAACGAGCAGAAAACACAAAGATTGAGAACATGCCTAGACCAATCTACCCATTGAGGCTGACTAGTTTGTTTATAGCCAGCCTAACCTGTTTGTGCTTTGGTTTCTCACAAGAAGAAGAGCTGGTCCTGGTAGCTAATTACAACAAAAACACTGTGGATTAAAACGAGATGCTGTAGGACCGGTCATATGTACATCAATGGCAATCAAAAAATCCTGTCCACTTGTACCCCCTGCTGAACAAAGATGAAGATTATCATTGCAAAAAAAAAATTAAAGAGCTCACTAAATAAACAGAATTTAAGTATACTGTAGATCAACAACTACTTCTAGTATGGACCTGCAGCAAAAAAATGTGTACTAATTTGTGTGTACAATATAACTTTGCTTATTTAAACCACAATTGATACAAATGCAAAAAACAAAGTTGTAGATTAAATCTCTCAATGACATGTTATGTACAGTATATTCAGAAGAGATTGGCATGATCTTAATAACCCAAAACTAAATGAGTTTTCTCCTTAATAAAGATTTGAAGACAGACAGGGAGAGAAGCTTGGTGTCAGAGCGCAGGGTCAGCCATTTATACGGTGCCCCTGGAGCAGTTGGGGTTAAGGGTCTTGCTCAGGGGCCCAACAGAGTAGGATTCCTCTGATGGCTGTGGGATTCGAACTGGCAACCTTCCAGCCACAGGCGCAGATCCACAGAGCCAAAGCTCCACCCGAGGTTTGATAACCTTTGTGCTATTACGTTTAAGTCTTCTGTAGATCTCGGAATCTCTTCAGAAAACAACAACAAATAGAACTCTCATTTCCTGGATTTTCTTTGATTTGGAAATCTGTCAAGGTTGCAAGGGATCTTCAAGAAATCATGGCTATAACTAGTCTGTGTAGATTTAAAATCTTTTTTGGACACATTAAAGCACAGTGTGTGTTAGGTTAAGTCAATTGTTTAGAATATTATAAACTATATAAACAATTAAAGTAACACATTAATACCTTCTGGAAATGCCATACTGCTTACAATGAGAATTACATTAAAAAAAATTAAATAGATTGCGTATGCACTTCATACATTGCAAGGCTCAGCACAGTGACCGCGTCACAAACCTAGATGGTGTAGAACTCTTCTGCTGCAGAAGACTTGATCTGCTGGTGTAGCAGAGTTCATATAAAAGAGTGGTCATCCTGTAGTGACCTTGATCGAACCCTGGCAGGGGCATTTTAAGCAGCCTAAGGCTAGTAATTAACAACATGGTAACATTCCTGCAGAGGTTCTTATCACTTTTCGTGTAGCAGTCTGGTACCCGTGTCTGCCGAAGAGCTCAGAAACCGAGATGAACCATAGCAGAGCCCAACGACCAGTGGCAGAATGTTGGACTCTGTCTTGTTCAAAGAATTTATCATTACTCTCTTTTTTTAAAACAAATCTGTTGCATATTTTAATAGCAATATGTTTTTTTATCCACCAACAATCCAGGAGGTGACAAATAAGAAGTTTGGAAGTAACAATTTTCGATCAGCACTTGAAAACGGAGTCCTGCTGTGCGAGTAAGTCAATTTCTAACTTGAGACTTTGCGTGGTTTGTGTGCTTTATTTGCGAATATTTGTAAAAATTTGAAATTTGATTTTTTTGTCTGGGATTTATAACATATGTTTTGCCAGCCAATTCCCATAGGGATAAATACTAGAAGTAGTACCGTAGTTGTAGGAACATACAGTACATGTTGATGTAAGAAATGTGTAGATTTATAGGATTTTATATTCCTCATGAAAAAGCATATGGCATTTCTCAAATCAGTTTGTTTCAAAGGTAAGTAAAAGAAGACTAGTAGGTAACCAAATAAAAGTAATCCTTAAATTCATGGTTAATCATATGTTTTATCAGTTTTTATTCTCATGAATAACTTCAGTTGCATCAAAACTGAACTCCACACTACTAAATATAGGTTTCCTCTTTAGAAATGTACTTCAATTGATCCACTTAAGAGTCCCCAGAAAGAATGATAAAAATACTCATGTGCCTTTATTAAACAAATGATAATGGTTCTTTCATATATTTCATATATGTTCTTTCATTGGAGTGCCCAAGTCTCTGAAGATTGCTACAGTCTCTGTATGGTTCCTCAAGCAAGACCACTGTTTGTTGTAATATATCACTGTAGCTAAGGAACTGGGAACAGATGCCAAGAAATTCAATCCTCAAGCTTCTTTTCTGAGAAGTCACTTAGGTTCAGTGGGGTGACGCTTTTGCCTAGTGTGTTTGTGTGACTGGCTTTGTAAGGTCACTCTCACAGAGGGGCAATCATCTCCTTTATTAATTGTGGCTGATCTGTCTGCGTGGGCTGGGCTGGATCTGTGCGCAGGTGCCATTTCTGTGACTCAGCAGCCTAATTACTGTGGTCAGATGTTGCATAGCACTGCTGTTCTAGTTCTGTGGTCAGAAGCAAATTGCATCTTGATTTCATGCTCTAAATTTAGTTCTCATTTCCACATGTGTTCACATTTTTGAAAGGTGCATATATCAGCTTTTGGGCGTGTGTGTCATTCAGCTGTTAAGACAGATTTCTTTCTTGTTTAGGATTGTTTGGGATCTGTTTTCTTCCACATTTGCTGTTAAACCTTATATAATGCAGTAGTAGTATTGCAAATTAATATACTCATACTAGGCATAGTCTAAAAGTTTTCAGAAAGTTGACATCGCTAATGAAAAGCTATTTTCACTAGCACACTTTCAGATGGGATGTAAAAACTGTTGATCTCATTGGGGATAGTATTCTATAGTTTAGATGTGTAACAAGAGAAAGCCCTTCCACCGAGTTTGTAATGTGGTTGTAGGCACAAAATGAGGGTTTACCTTTTCCACGCTTTGGTCAATTGTCACCGATTTATGATTTAGTTGAAACTTCCTGAACACTCCCTGTGTTTGATGTCATGAAGCTCTCTGTTCACGTCTTATGAAAAACCACTGACTTTAAACCTGCCGCAATCCACCTTTTTTTACTCAAATTATTGCAAAACTGCGTTGCAAGAAAACTGCAAAGATTACTAAGGTTTTTAAATATAATCATTAGGACGTGAAGGTGCCATTTCTGTGACTTCACTAATTACTGTGATACTTCAGCAGATAAAACTGGTCTTAACATGCTGTTTTCAGTGTGGGATCAGTGATGCAGACAGTTTGGCATGAGATGACTGGTGATGTATTCTTAATCTAATGTGCTGTTCAGGCCGAACCAGAGTTTTTAACATGGTTTCTGATTTGTAAAGTTTTCGTATTTTAAATTAAGACAGCAATTCTTTAAAGTCAGAATGGCAGTAATGAAGGAGTAAAAAATTAACAATTATATACAGTCATGACTAGGCATTTTTAGATGTGTAACAAGTACTCAGTTCAGCAAAGGCTTTTACTCTGCCACCAGTCGCAAATTACAAACCCTGTATTTGATTGTAGATTTTAATTTGGTAAAAGCAAGTACCACTAGCAGATGAAAAGCTAATAATGGAACAAGCAAAAGTTTATTCCATGCTGAAAAGAAAAGATTACTTTTCTTTTGGTAAAAATGAAGATTACTTTTCTTTTAAGCATGGAAAAACCAACTTTTACTTGTTCCTTTATAGCCTATGCATGCTGACACAGCCACCTACTTGAACAAATTTGTTACTTTGTTTCTTTAATGTAGACCAATGTAAGAATTATGTTTTTTTAATGTATCAAAACAAAATGTGGAATGCTTCAAACTCTTAAGGTAACTGCATAGACTTAAAATCCTGGATTGTGTATATTCCAATGGTGAGATACTGATGTACTATATTGTACTCTACTTGGTTTACAAGTGATTTTACATAACTATTAAGATAAGTTAGATTTACTCAGTTTACTCATCAATATTAAAAAAAAATATATATAGAACGTGAAGTTTTTTTAAATGGTGCACTGTAGTCTGTTTGCCCTTTTAACGACAATGGTCTTTTCTAAATATCTCATGGTGCTCATTGTGTGGGGACCTGTTTTATAACTGTTGATTCCAGTAGTCATGGGTTGGTAACATTACCTTTCCTAATTTGAGACACTGAAATTTCCTTTGTGTTGCGAATAGGTTTGTGTACCTTTTCACAGGAGTAGAGATTTGCTTCAGAATGAATTAAGAGTGATTTAATTAAGAATTTTACAGCATCATTAAAACAAAGTTATTGGTAGTTTGGCGATCTGATAAAAATAATATAGTACTGCCTGATGCCCATGACATTTTGGCTACTCAGGTACAGTATATTGCTAAAAAAGTACAACACCCCTTTTTGGTTTAGGCATTCATAAAAACGGAGGCACATGCATAAGTGATTTAATGGGCTTACAGAGCTAAATAAGGGTATTTCAGACAGGATTTGTTCGTTATAATGGAGACATTTACGAGCAGAAATAAGTTCACTACATGTATTTAGACTGTCGTTTCTTAATGTAAGTGCTGTGCATGTTATGAGACTCGTGGTGCCTAATGAGCCTGTTTACAGTGGCCTCAGTCCCTGGAGCTCCCAGGAGCATTGGCCCAGGGGATATGTGCTTGGTGCTGTGTGTGTGACTGTTCTGTGGGCTGCGCGGCTTGGGCACTCAACTGCCATTTCAGTCACATTCAAAACCACAAAATCAAGGATGATCTCAAACCGTGAAGCCACAAATCATTTAAAACTACTATGCAAAAGTATGTATAGTTTGGGATCGTGTGCGTCATATGTAGATATTAGCACAATCAGTCCAATAAGAAATTTAACACCTACTGTATATGGTGTATGAGATGGTTTTTGTATGTACATGTGTTTTATACTGCTATGACACAGTGTGAGTGACTCTGAGGTATGTTTTCATGTAATAATATTTTAGATGAAAAGAGATTAACCATCTGTTGTGCCTGTTCTATCCTGTTATATAAAATGTTATATACTGTGTATATATAATATACTTTTATATAAAATAACAGTAGTTGGATTTTACTTGAACATTTGTCTATTTTTAGTAGAATGTTGACAAGTCAAAATACTTTTATACATGTATGACTCTCAGATATGTTTGTTCTGGTATATTTCTCAATGGTGTTTCTCATTTCACATTGAATGTTGGGAATGGAGTAAACAGAAGCCAGGTGGCTAGCATTATAGGAAGTAATAAAATGTTATTTCCATGAAGCGGCACTGTTGGTGCTTGCTGTAAACTGAACCTCTTTCTCTTTTCTTTTCCAGCCTGATAAATAAGATTAAACCCGGGATTATAAAGAAAGTCAACAGGTTGTCCACTCCAATAGCTGGCTTGGTAAGTTCACAGATGCTTTTAGTAATTCATGGAGGTACTATGATTTTTATTGTTTTCTCTGCCAAAATGTACCAGAAGTGTTTATTATACTTTCGAAATGTAGGGCTTGCTAAGAGTATGAGAACTGGTAAACGGGTAAATACAGAATATGCTGGTTTAAAAAAGTTATATAGTCACTCAACATTGTGTTCACTCTCTTACTTTGTGGGTTCACACTCCAGACTTCCACATCGGTTATCTAACCATTTGAATTGAAAAACACAAAAAAATACATCTTTCTGAATCATAACTGTGTATCTCCAAGGGCTGTAAATCGGTTTTGAAGTGAACATTTATTTATAGATGTGGTTTCTGAAGCAAATTTAAACATGAAAAGTGATGTTTTTTTTTGCTTTTCTAACTAGAAATTATCTGTAATGGCAAAGATAGTTTCTCAGTGCGCTTGCAGTGTGGTTCTTTTAAAATGTGCCATATCCATTCTGAGGTTCCAGATTAAAGGCTGCTTCTAGTAACGTTTCCAGACCATTCTAAAATGACCAGCATTGTACATAATTGCAGACAGCTGTCCCAGGGAAAAATAAATGTAGAAATAAATTCGATTTTACTACATTTAGAAGCATCTGTGGAACATTTAGAATTTTGTGAAAACAGGCTTTTATTCTCCAGTTGATATTTATCCACTAATATGTTTAGTGGGTAAATGTTCATAGTCCAGACATAGGCTGAAGCAATTTTCTGAAAAAATGCTGTAAAATATTAATTATCCATAAATACTTGCTAAGTTTTACATGCTGGTTTTGGGTAGGAAACAGTGCTAACCCTGTGCAATGCAGAGAAGTAGAGTAAGATTAGGTTGAGAGGCATTTGGAAAGCTTTCTAACAGTAGCTTTTTTTCATAAAAATTTGCAACCTTCTTCCTAGACCCAATTTATATATTTTTTTAAAATTTTGCATTTTTATCTTGGATTTTCAAAGTAGTTCAGGTGGGTAGCCTACGTTGGCACGTTTTGGTTGTGGAACCCTCTTTGGGTGTCGTATATGTATTGTTATTCAGAGGATAAAGAAAAGGCAGATACTATTCTGTTTCACCTGAATAGTCATAGGACTGAATAATAGGACACCTGAAGAAGGCTCCACGGCCGAAACGTTGTGTTCTCTTTCTTCTTTTTTTCAGCATGGAATAAACCTATTACTTGTTACTATTCTGTTTCTATTGTTATCATCATCATCTTCTGCCCACATTAATTCCACCGGCTTTACCATACTTTCACAATAACCTTTTGTTAACCTGAAAAAAAATCCAAAAGCATTATACTTCCGATGATTTGAGTTTGTATTCATGTAGGATTCCCAAATTCTGCAAAACTCAAGACTGTTTTTTTTAAAAATAATATTGACATGTACATTTGAACCTTTTACCAATCTGGAAGCAAAGCCTGCAGTTTTGTGGTCTATCAAATTACCACAAGAGACTATTTAATTTTAGCGGAACTGGAGGCTGAGGAAACAGCAATGACTTCATGGTGTTGAACCTCAGGCAGTTAATTGCACCAGATAGACATTTTTTGAATTTCTGCAACTTAATGACTTGCAATTGGAACTGCTAAGGAAAGATAAAGACTGGAGCTTACGACAAATATCACAAAGATTTGTTTTAATTGAGCAGCAGCCAGGATTCCTTTTCTTGTCAGGAGTGCCTGCTGTGTAGATTGTGCATATTAGGCCCTTACCACTGAAAGGGAGCTGAACTCCTGGAGAAATGCAGGGTAGGTTGGTCGCTGTCTTGACATTATCCCTGTGGGTGGTTTTTCTACAATGGAGTGGCATCCTATTCAGATATTCAAATAGGATGGTCACGTAGCTGCCATTGTGTTCTTTTTTAGATGAGTATTACTATATGTACTGCAAACCATTCCTCAGCAGAAACCGGACTTTCAATAGCAAACCTATTGGTAGGTATCATTCTAGTTTCCCCTTTGTGTACCTGAAATTCACTCACACTATTCAAGTAGATGGGCTTGACTTGGTAGGAAGCCTTCAAAAGTTCTTGCATTTTTTTTGTTTTAAATAAAGTAAACAAAGTCCTATTTTATATAAACTATTGGCTGAAAATAATCCATACTCCCCTCTTAACATTCCTCTAACAATTGGATACTAGAGCATATTTGCCTTTGGTACTGATTGATCTGTCTCTTAACGGGGTTGACCAAAACAAAGCATATTACATTTTAGGTACTTCAGCAAATAATTTGAACTTTCATGGCTTCTTGATAAATAGTTTTGACATTTTTTGTAAGTCATAAACTTAATCTTGGAACACTAGCAAGGAATCACATGAACCTACTTTAATGCTTCCCTGTCATGTCAGAGTAGAACTGTGGCAGATCAAAACTACTGAGCTGTGCATATTAAGCTAGCTGGATCACAGTTTTAAAATTTGTAAAGATTAGTAACTCATAGTTCTCTGTTAAACGCTTCTACCCAGATCTGAGGTGTACAGTTATTTATTGCTGATCATGCCATCTCTTCAGCCTTCTTGTGCATAGTTCTATTAAACATCTAGTTACAGTCCATGCCAGGCAACAGAATCATGTATCACCTGTGAAAAGTAGCCAGCAGCTCGTGCATTCGCACTCACCCTCAAAATTTCAGGATAATAAAGGAGGGCACCATATGTGTTCTGAAATTTCATTGCAATTTCTTGTAGTAGAGATTGACCTAGCATTAGCTAAACATTAGTGAAACATGAGGAAGACTGCCAAACCCTTTCATAAACCCATATCAGACAAATAAAGATTAAGGATTTCTTCAAGCACAGGTGACATGGTGGTGAATTTCCACAGTCCAAAGACATACTGGTAGTTTAATAGTGTTCTGGGAAAAATGGTCCTGGTATGAGGGTGTTCGTGTCCATGTCTGCCTGTTGATGGACTGATGTTCTTAGTTCTGTTTGCGAGGATAGGTTCCGGCTTCCCCATGATCCTGTATTTGGATAAAGTGCTTAGAAAATGGGTGGATGGATCTATTTCTACAAGCTAATAGTCATCTGCTTTACCTCTCCTATTTGTGATGATAACTGATCTCCCTTTCTGCCATTTCATAAGGATTCAAAGACTCTTATACTTAAAAGACATTAGAATCTAAAATGATTTATGTTTGGTTCGCAATCTCTCCATTCCATTTTCAGATTGCTACCTTCCACACCTTTTGTCTCCTGCCTTTTCATCTCTTTATCCCTTTTTTCCCCAACCCATTTCCAGTGCTCATCTTTTCATTTCATTATCATCCACCTCTCTCTCGTATTTCTGCTGTCTCCCACTCTTCCCCTCACACCTGAAGAGGGCTTTACAGACAAAAGTCTTTACCTGTCTGTGTGGAATTGAAGTTCCTTTGCAAATCTTATTTATAACTGCAAACCCCAGCACCAGACAGGACATAGCTATTAGCGATACTTGGTGCTGCAGGAATCCTGTCAAGAGAAACAATTCCTGGTGTCTGACTGTTCAAGGTTTCTACCGTTCTGTTCCAGCAGCGCTTGATTCATTGCCCAACATCCTATGACAATGTGTATGTGCTTTTAACCTCCACTGTATGCATTTCAAACAGGGATTACAAGTAATTTTCACAATGGATACCTTAATGCAGATTTTCTTTCCATGGTAACCTTTAATATTCAGTAAATATGCATCTAAAGGTTTTCCAAGTGGTTTAAAATTGGTGTAGTGACAAACTGGCAGAACCTCCCAAACAGATGGCAGGTTGCTAAAGAGCTCTTGATATATTTCTTTTAACATGCATATCTATTGTATTCTCATTTCATATTAATATTAGATAAATTGTCATTGTGACAGCCAAAACCTGGCATGTACAGTATGCCTATTTTACAGTAGTTTAGGAACATACCACTTTGATAGAAATGTGTATTAGATCAGAATACTTGTCATAACTAAGTGCCAGCTATTAAAAATATTTATACTTTCAAGTTTAGTTAACCTGATACTTCCCCTGTGTTTAATTATGCCTTTCTGGTGGCGATAATGTAGTAAATGTAGGCCTTTGCGTAGCTAAAAATATTTAGTGAAAATCTCCTGAAGCCTACATTTAACAATAAAATGGACTGTATGTCCCATTAAGCTCTCTTATGTTTTAAAATGACCAACCTTTAATTTGTATTTTTAAGCAGCACATGTAGCGCTTTCCTTTCTGCAGTGAGTGAGGGTAACTCAGCGAATAATGTCCGTCTCTTTAAGAGTGACTTCTTTGAGTTTTCCATCTAATAAGGTATCTCTTTGGTGACTGCATACAACATTCTTCTATCGCCTGGACATTACTCTGCTCTAAATGAAGATTTTGTTCAGCTGAATTAAACTATAGGAAGAAAGTGATCTCGTTTTTTTTCTTCTGATTTTATTTTTCTGTTTATCCATATATGCATTTTGTTTTCATAATAACAAGGTACTTCATGGGTTATCAAAATGTGGTGCTTTACATCTTGGCCACTTAATACTTGAGTGCAGCCAGCATCGGTATTGTTACATTTATCATACTAATGACCAGTTAAAGACCTCAATTATATAAATTTGAGAAGCCTTGTTTTTTTTCTTAATTCAGCCAAGGCTAGTTTACCAAAGAATAAAAAATATGTGGGATGGAAATAGATCAGTAATTTTCCATTACAGTTGACCAGCTGTAGTTCTGATCAACTGTTTCCCTTGTGTTTTCCCTGTATTAGAACATTACACCTAACTTGAATCTGAACTTTTTTACTCTTTTCATTTTCTTCTTGTCTAGAAAAAAACGCTAAGTGGAAGCAAAATTGCCTTACAGTGCTTTAAACTCTGTATAAAGCAAGTTGTGTTTATTACTAGTTGATCATGTTTTAAAGTGTTTCAAATCAAGATAATGCTGCGAGAGAACTGAGGGGGATCTTTGCTCTTGGCTTTATCACCAAAGTTCAACAATTTGAGCCAAAGTGTTTGAATCGCATACCGGACATTTTGACTAGATAATGCAAGCTCTCCTTGTACTATTACACTAGTGACAGTTTTACATCCTGCCTTTATTTTTGCATGCTCAGTATTGCATGCCAACAAAAGCAACTTAAGTTTATGTCTTGGCATGCTGTTCAATGTTTCAAAAGTTGATTGTATACAGTGGAGTCAATGCTTCTAGGTTAACCTCTTTCAGGTTATTTACCCATGAAGGAGACATGGTTAAGATAATTGCAGACTAAAGAAATAAAAGTAAGCAGAAAAGATTACTATTAGATTGGTCTTATTGTTTGTTTCATACCTTGGATTAAATGTTGATAAAGGTCTAAAAACAAAATAAGGCACTCCAACAATATTATAGAAACCTAAGCAGTTTTGAGTGAGACAGATATGACGACAAACTCTTTTAAAAACTTTTTAAGCACAGGATATATTTATGCAATGAAAAGGTTAATTTGACAGCATGATATACTGTACAGTGTTGCTTAGTACTGTCATGGGCAAAGTCTGAAACAGTAGAAGTAAATAATTATATTGACTTCATGCATTTTGGGGGGTGAAAGATTTCTAAAAGTATAATCGTTTAGGATACATAAGTATTTTGTATTCTAAATGAAACAAAGGATACAAAGTAATTTGTCAAGTAATTTGGTTTTGTCTCTCATGTTTTTTGGTAACTATTAGATAAGTATTTAAAGTTATTGATTATTCATGTAGGAAAATTAGATTAATCTTATTCTTGAATCATATCAAAGGAAAATGTCAAGAATGTAGTAGAACACACCCAGTCTGTAATTGTACCTTGGTTATATAGCAAATAAAAATCACAGTTTGACGCTCAAGAATGTTGACTGTTTTAAGATAATCCATATTTTTAATAATTTTTTAAAGTTTATTTTCCTTTCAGAAATGTGTATGAACAAATAGTTTGAAGTCAAATCTGCAATCTTTTGTCTGCCTTAGTGAATCTTGGTGTGATTGTCACACCTCGATGTACACACTGGTACATCAACATTAGGATAATATTCACATTAATAAGGAAAGATTTCTTATTGGTCTCAAATTAAAACTATAGAAAATAAAAAAATGAAATAAAATGATTAATGTTATGTTACTGGTGTTGCCTTTTAAGAATATCTCATTTTTTTAACTTAATTGTACCTTTTCCGTTATTCCAGATGCATTTTGAAAGCTTGGTAAAAATATTATGGCAATAACGTGTGTATGGGCATAAGAACTGTAATTTACACCGGGTAAAAAGTCTGGGCATGCTCTGGTAATGCACAATGATACCTTTTGAATAATGATGTTAATTTAATCAACTCCTATTCAGGTTATTTGTATAATCCTTTATTTTCAAACATCTTTCTGCCATTCTCAATTATATTTCTGTTAATCCCTTGTGTTGAGTTAACATCCTAGTTCACTGGATTCTGAAGTTGCCTTAAATCCTGTTTTATTACAGTTTCAGGCTTCAGGGTAGAGAAGATTTCTGAAATGTTCACCAGTGATTTGGTGGTTAAGTTAAGTTGCATGTGACATGAGGGTCAGACATTCGCTTGTGGTATGGACCTCAAAAACTGCTGGAAGGGTTGACATGAAGTGACATACAGTTTCTGCTGGTCTTTTCTCATCTCTTAATAATTTTGAATTTCATATAGAGCAGCCAAACCTGTAATCACGGGGGGTGGGAGGTTAGCAGAATTACAGGAGTTGGTTAGATTTAATTTAAGTAACACCATTCAGAATCCTGCAAGCATTTGTGTATAAGAAGTGTATATTTATGTAATACAACTCTAATATCCAAATCATATCTATTCCATAGAAGAAGAAAGTTTCTCTTCCTATTCTATAAGAGATTGGGTCTTTATACAAGACAAATACTGAACAAAAGCAGCTAGAAAGTTGGTATTCTCTTATCTTAACTGTGTATTTGTTAAATGTCTGCTACCCAAAGAGGCTATTATTTGGTGGGGATTAATACTGTTTGAGAAATAGCCTGCATATATAATCTGTGTATATGAATGGGTTTATACCGTTCTTGAAATCTTTGTTCTGGCTGGATCACTGCAGCTGTACTCTTCTAAGGTGTCAAATCATGCACATACTCTTGCCAGTGGCAACATTCCAGATGCCACCACACCTTTGTTTTGAGAGACTGAGAGAATAAGACTGCCATGCCCCTTTGCTTGTCATCATGCATCGTGCTACATAAAGAAAGTGTGCATGGTAACCGTACGTCTCCAAAATAATAAGCTTAGATTCCTAATGTATTTCTCGGCTAAGGTGCAGGCAGGGAATACTTCAGCGCTCACACCCGAGTAGCTGACAGTTTCTGGGTGGGTGAGAAAGTGAGTTGGTGTTGGGAGGGGCGGAGAGGCAGCATGGCTCTTTGGGTACAGCCTGTCACATTGACGAGGGTGGGTCTTCTGACGGACTGTGACGCCTGGCTGGCTGGGTACTTCCCACTCACGGTGCAGAAACTCTATAACAGGTAATGTTTGAAGAGTCAATCATTGCCGTCACACAGGGCTGCCTGCACATTATATGTTGTCACTGTTTGCTGCAGCATTTCCCTGTCTGGTTTATTGAAGAAGTGGACTTTGGATCCTGTGGTTTTGTGCGCCTAAGCAGCCACTTTCCTTCTCCGCTTACAGGACAACGTTAATGTGTTCCTGAAGGCTTGTGGACGGCTTGGATTGAAAGAAGCACAGTTGTTTCATCCAGGAGATTTACAAGATTTGTCAACTCGAGTCACTGTCAAGTAAGTTTTATTAATCATTAAATAACTAAAAAAACAAATGAGGTTGCTTAAAATCAAAGCAGTGTTGAGCACATTGTGATCTGTTGAGATGCCAGCAAGTGGTGTAATTAAATCTAATGTTGGCTATTAACACTTTTTTTGTTTAATTTGTCAGTCTCTGGTATTTTTTCTGTTTGTTGACTGTGTTAAAGTATAAAAGGATTGCTGCAGCACTTCTTTCTTGGTATGTAAAACACCTGAGAGATGAATAGGGACAGGGCGCTTATCTTTAAAGTGGAGTAAACGTGGAAATACTGTTATTGAGTGTCCCTGTATCTTCAGGAAGCCTTGGGATATTTGAATACTGTTTGCAGCATAATTTACATACTGCTGAGCGTTTGTCTTGTCCCTTTCACCTCATGCGACATGGTTGACTCAAGTGATTTTATGTTATGTAATGAAAGTGAGCTACAGAGAGGAGAGCTACCCAATAATTTCTCAATGCGTTGAAAGTACGGCTGTGGTGACAGTTTGCTTGATGGTCTAAATATCTGTTTGGTGGTGTTGTTAAGCTTTAATACAGGGTCTGTCTCCTGTATTCATGTATTCCTTCCAGTAAACAGCCAGTAAGCAGTAGCCAGTAGTAGCAATCACTCAAGGGGTTCTTTATGCAGGTTTCTTGAAAGACAGAAAAGGTTTTACCTTTCACAGGCGAAATTGTACTCAATGACAGTACATATAGTGAAGATAAAGTATTATACAGTACAAATTATCAAAATGTGAAGATCTTCACTCTTTAAACAATGGCTTTCATTTTATTTTGCCGTTTTTATGTTGCTAAATTAAAAATAAGATGCCAGTTTAGGCCTTGGCATTGAATGAGTTAGCACTTCGGTCAATAAGGTATGTTGATCAACCTGTTGAGGATCCTCCACAGGTGTGTCAGCTAATTCATCTTTGAGGGATGAATCAAATGCAGTGAACTCAGTTTTTAATTTTTTAATTATCAGCATCGTTATCATTTATTCTGGAAATGTTACCAGCTGCACACAACAGTCTATCCTTAAATGCTGGGGAATTTGTAAAATAATGATTGAATGTAGGTGTATGTTTTTTTTTATTGTATAACAGACCTATGGTGCAGACTGAACAGGTTTCTATATATAACCACTGGAGGAAAAAAGTATTAGTTTGAAAATGTTTAGATAAAAGTATAACCAGTGATATATAGATTATATTCTATGAAAAGCAATGTTAAATATTTAATAGTCGGAATACAATTCTTGTCATAGTTTAATAGATAACTGCATAAATAAAGGTTATCTTGGGTATTTGTTATCATTGAACCAATGTATTACTTTGTTCATTTTTTTGTATATAGCGCTTAACTTTTTTCCCCAAAGTGTTTTGACATGTTAGTAAGGGCAGCAGTCCATGAGTGATATGACTTGTCTGACTGTAAACAGAACTTAACTCTGCTGTTAAAATGATCTTCTATGCCTTGTTGCATTGTGGTTCTGCATTCCATAGTCATGGAGGATGGTATGCAAAGTGGCCCTGATCCACATACTTTGATATGGAATCACACTCAATACGTGTCCTCAATTATACATTGTAATATATTCTGTGTATATACTGTAATCTCTTGGCTTTTCACTGACGGTTTGCAGAGCTGTCAGAACAGGTGCTGCTAGCAAGTCAAACAAAGGGACAGCTTTGCTCTGCGAGTTTTACCACACCCTGTTGTACCTAGCAACCAGAAAGGCATTCTGATAAATTGAAATGATTGATGCTTTTATCCTACTCAGAAACATGGACTTGTCAGCTACATTAAATCCAACAAAAACTGTGTGTGCGAGCTGTGCCATTCTCAAGAGACTGCCCCTAATTTTAGAACTGGAAGGTCACTTTTTGACATTGGGTTGAATGGAATGGTGACAAGACTCCATAGAGTAAGCACTTTATTTAGAGCATTTTCTTTAATTCATTGACATTTATATAAAGGCCCATAAAGAGTCACCACTAACACGGCTGAAAATTGACTTCTTGTGTTATCTGGTGTGGTTTTATATCATGTTATAACTCCCATTTTCTTTTAGACATTCCTCTAATTAGAGAAACAGCTAAAATGGCTTTCTATGTTTAATTGGTTTGCTGATTTTTTTAAAAAAATAATATGATCAGGTTATTCAGTATACCTGTAGTTTGAAAATGAGCAGCATTGCATGTGCATTACCAGCAGTAAGGCTGTTTTTAGGCTTCATATAACCTGACATAGTCAGGGTTGGGATGAGTCTGTGGTCCGCTTTCAAAATTGAATTCAATGGGTGTTTGTGAATAACTGATTTTGGTAGGTAGGGAAGGTGCCAACAGCTAAACGGCTAAAATGCCAACATTTTGCATTAGTAATCTTGAATAAGAACTATAATATATTTATACATTGATTTATAACTTCTTAATAGAGAATATTTGAATCCAGTTCCTAGAAGATCTATTGTCTTGGAAAAACGTATTACATTTGGGTTTTAATAAGAAGATAGTAAATTTAATGTGATTATCAAATAAAATGGCATGCATAGAATCCGTCTCATCATTAAAGGAGAATTTAAATTTTTAACTTAAATACTGCATGGGAGGGACTGCAAGACTTTCAGACAAGCGGGTAGATGGAGTTCACAAAATTGTACATTACTACTTAAATAATGCTGCCATTTCCTAGATATATCACAATTAAAAGTAAATTTGCTGGCAATTACCTGTCCTCACCTGTAGGTGCTTGTATCCTTAGATTTGTGCACTCTAGACTGTGCCAATTCCTCACCAGGAAAAATTATTAATTAGTAGGTGTTTCCTCATGTCAGTTTGAGTCTGATAGCTGGCAAACCAGTATTTGTTCTGGGGTTAACTGGTATTTGTTCTGGGGTTTGCTCTGAGGCAGCCTATCAGTGTTTCAGTGATTTGTTTTTTTCAGTAAAAATTAAGCTGCAGGGACGATTGATATTCTCTCTCTTACTTAATGATTGTATACAAGACAACTTTTCCAGCTGTCAATCAATACTAGGGTATTCGCCATTGACCATACAATTGCTAATGTCGGCCCCATTCCTAATGACAAATCCAAACCAAAAAGTACCAAAATCCAAAAAGTACTTATACACCAATAAATCTTATGATTACCTGTAAAGCTATAGAAATGATCATTAGAACAAAACATGAGATGTAATTATTGGAATTTGTATTGGAACATCTACTCTTTCTATAGATAACTGATCTAGATTGTGGTACAGTAAGGAAATTAATACAGGTTACTAAATTAGGCGGACTAACCAAATAATGTAAATGGAAGCTCTTAGACAAAATGTATAATTTGGAAACATTTAAGTACAGAATTTCACATGCAAGTAGTAGAAACATGAAATTTTGGATGTAAGGAAAGATTTAGGTGATTGCTGTTCATTTTTTCCCCCATCTTCTGGACAATTTGGGGAAGCAATATTAAAGGTGAACAATGTTTGGGTATATACTGAATTTAAGCTAAGGTGTTACAGTATGTTAAACTTGTAAGGTCTCATTTAGAGTATTGTGTACAATTTTGATCTCCACAACAAAAAGATAATTGCTTCTCGCAAATCAGTCTGTGGCAGATGAAACAATGATCTCTGGGCTCACACTATTGTCTTCTGATAGATTCAGATTCATAAAATGTAAAAAGTCCGTTTAGCCTTTTACATTCCTTCGTGTATTTCTTATTCAAGTAATCAGAATCCTCTAAAACACTTCAGCAATGTAAACTCAATTAATTTCTTCAGAATCAAAAGTGAAACACACAACAGAGGTGATGAGTGAAAACTACAGAGACAGAGAATGGGAGACACCCCAGTACGCAAAGGGTTGTGGGAGTCTCGAACAAACGTAAAGCTGATAGTCTGGCATCTTTCATGAAATGTCCAAATGAAATCCAAGGAACACTTAGTTATTGTCAATCGAATAGGCTAGACTGGTCAAGTGTCCTGTTTAATGTTTTTAATTACATGACCTTTGTGTCATCTCAAACTTTTAAACCGACATAAAATAACTTTCATATTTTTAAAATCTAAAAAAGTCCAGATCTATTGTGAAGATATTGTGCTTCCAAATGAAGTGAAAAGAAAACATTTTTTTAAATTATACTTTTCTAACTTATTTAAATCTATGACTTTTGCAAACTAGCAATTTTGAAAATTTCATAAAACAGAATCTGCTAAATGTACATTTATTTTGTCCATTTGTTGTTTGTTCCTCCTTGAAACATAACCAAATATTTTTCTCTGCAGATAGTGCATTCACTAGTTACATAGAAACTATTCTGAAAGTTTAGGAAAACAGTGTTACAGAATAATGAAAGATGATGAGAGATCCATAAAATATTATGTGATCGCTGCATGAAAATCTTCAAAAATTGAAGTAAGTATTCACAGTGAGAACATGATAAATCCTTGACAATACCCACTTCTATTCTGAGGCCTCCAATTTAGAAAAACACATTCTGATGATGTATCTGACTAGATTACAGTATATATAGGCAACACCCTGCATGCCTCATTACTTTAGCTGTAAATTACTGTAGTTTTTGCAATGCTGTTTTCTGAAGTGTGAAAACTGTGATGGGTTCCTACTGTGCCACTAGTGTTTTGAATGATTGTGCATTATGACACATGGTGTGATACTGTGCCACTCCCCAAGTTTATTATCTGTTAGTAACCCTCATCTGGCCTTTGAACTCTTTGTTCAAGAATGTTCCAGTGTGGTTGCTTTCATTTGTTCTGTACTGGGACTCTGAACGAGAACTGCTTGTTAATGGGAGAAGAGGGGATGATATGGGAAGAAGTACAGTAATAGTCTCTTATTACATAAGGGTTTTGAGTTGAGCCCTTACAGTGCAAGCCGGTGCTTACAAGAGGACTGATTATAGTACAAGCAATCACAATCCTCACAGGCATTAACAATGTCAGCTTCTTTCAGCTCAGTGACCTTCTTTACTG